GTTTGTACATGTAAGTACAGTGCTCATGGAACCCAGGAAAAAGTGTCAGATACCCTGGAATTGGAGTTACAGGTAGTTGTGAACTGTTGGAAGCAGTGAGACCCCAGATCCTGAAACAACTTGTTTTCCCCGATCTGAGTGCCTACAGTTGCTCTGAGCACGAGACCCTCAGGAGATCTGATAACAGGAGAGTGATTTCTGGTGGGTTTGGCTGGGGCGTGGCTGTTAGTTAAGGATCCCTATATAACCTGCCCTGGAACACAATAAAGGGGGCATCCTTGGGGCATTCTGGCATCAAGGATGACCTCTCTCTCTCTCTCTCTCTCTCTCTCTCTCTCTCTCTCTCTCTCTCTCTCTCTCTCTGTCTTTGTGTGGAGATTGAAATCTCCAGCCCCTTGCCCGGTTCACAAACTGTATGGTGGTGCATAGCGTGCAGATGGGTGCGGTGCACTACAGTGAGCTGCCTTATGTGGGTGCTGGAAACCAAAGTTGGGTCCTCTGCCAGAATAGTCCCTGCTCTTAACTGCTGAACCCTCTCTCTAGTCCCCCATATGTCTCTTTCTTAAGGGCAAGAATGGGGTCTTTAGGGGCTGGAGAGATGGCTCAGAGGTTAAGAGCATTGCCTTCTCTTCCAAAGGTCCTGAGTTCAATTCCCAGCAACCACATGGTGGCTCACAACCATCTGTAATGGGGTCAGGTGCCCTCTTCTGGCTTGCAGGAATACACAGAGACAGAATATTGTATATATAATTAATAAATAAATATTAAAAAAAGAATGGGGTCTTTAAATCCTTAGAATTATAGTGCCTGATTTATATTTGTTATTTAGTAAAGTTTATCCAGAATATAAAGATTGGGTGCTTTTCTTACAATACAGGAAATCTGAGGCTATTTGGAGTTTTCTGATTTTGGAGTGTTTTACAATGATGAGATTCACTGGAAGCCCAAGGAAGATATGAGCAGAACCTTTGAGGAAAGTTTCTCTGTGGACAAGAACCCCATGTAGGACTCTCAGGAAGTCTAATACATTTGGAAAGGTGTCTGGGGAGCGATGGCAGACAGGACTGATGGCTTAGAGATTTTTGGAACTAATTTCTTTGTTTTTAAAATCTGGGGCTGAGACGTGAAGGCGTAAGACTGGCGACTGAAGTCACTGGGGTGGTATAGTCTATGAAATAGTGTATGGTATGGCAAGAAGAGCACTCTCTAAAGGGATGGAGAACAGATAGGAAGACCTGTGTTCACTACAACACTGAGATAGGCCAGCCTATCCTGTATTGATCACCCCCAGTGGCTAGGAGGGGTCATTAGGATACAGGCTCATCTATAATCACCACCAGTTCTCCCTCCAAATCCCTTAAGATTAATAAATGAATACACACAATGCATCCGGAACTAAAAAGACAAGTTCCCTAATAGCTCTTCTACAAATGATTGCTTCCTTCAGTTCCCTCTGCACAGAAGTTCCGGATACTCGAGTGCAAGGCTTTCGAGAAACCAGCAGGGGCCCCCTCGAGAGGCAGAGGCTGGAAGAACACGACAACTTTTAGACCAACTTGGACCACAGAGTGAGACAAGCCCAGCCAGTCCTGGTCACAAACCAACCAACAACCCATTTTGCAAAGGCGAGGAAAGAGGCAGGTTTCCTCTTCCTAACCCACTATGCAGACTCAGGGGAGCCGGTTGTTTCTCTTTTCTTCATCCTCTCAGGGTGCCATCAATTTGAAGACAGGTTCTTGCTAAGTCACCCAGGCTATCCTTGAATTTGTAAACCAACTGTTTCACCTTCCCCGGTAGTTGTGATTACAGATGTGCACCATGGTGCCTAGCATTAATTTCTCATTAAACGAAGTCTTCTGTTGTATGCGCTGCCTTTCCATTTTCTGAGGCAAATGCATGATGGATTTATTGATGTAATAGGCATTTGTGAAGCTACACCAGAAGCAGTGACTCTTTTCTCATGAACTCTCAAAGGTTATGTTATGAGCACAATGCCCAGGGATCCATTCTCACACTTCTTTCGTGGGTGGTGTGTCCTATTTTCTGCTGGACTCCCTACTCCCCTTTTCTTTTAACCCCAGTTTTGCCTTTCAGCATGTGAACACAATGTGTGAAAACATTACTGGTGGCAAAACCTTAAGAGTTTTGCAAGACAAAGAGAAAAAGCATATAATCTCATAAGTAAAATAATAAGATTTATAATGTCATAAAGATTCCTTATCATGTACTCTTTGAGAGTATTTAGGTGTACTCCTACTTACCAAGAAAATGTAAGGATTTCCACAGTGTGTGCTTGTCACTCTCAGATTCTTCCTGCACCTTCTGTTTTCTGTTTTCTCCTGTGGGACATCTCCTAAGTTCTTGTGTGCTCCTTGAAATCTCTATTAGAACTGAGCACTCTGTGTCCTGTCTGCTATGGGAAGGCTTTTTATAGATTTAGTATTTGCCAAAAATTTCACTTCAATAATGTAAAGAAGGAGCTGGAGAGATGGCTCAGCAATAAAGCGTGCTTATTCTTGTGGAGAGCCTGTGTTCAGTTCCCAGCACCCACGCGGCAGTTCACAAATGCCCAGAACTCTAATTTCAGGAAACCTAATGCCCTCTCTGACCTCCATGAGCTGCTGTGTTCATATGGTGCACAAAAACTAATGCAGGAACACATACATATATGTAAAAGTACATAAGCCAATCTTTAAAATACAAAGAGGCTTTCTCTGAATGAAAAGACGATAGGTATGCTTTCTGTATAATTACGTGCTAAGTATATTTTGATCTACTCTAGTTCTCTAAAACTCAACAAGTCAGTATTAAGACAGTTTTATTCCTTTGCTAGCATAACTTGTTCCTATCTCTGTTCCTGATTCTAAGCATAAATCTTAGTATAATTCTTAGTATAATACACTAGGGTGTGTGCTGATGGGCTGATCAATTAGAGTTAAAGTAGTGGCATTCTGCACAGACAACTTAACCATCTCTCTTGGTTGGGCTTCCTTAAGTCGACAACCAGAAGCGCTGAATACATCCAGGCTCCCTTGATAGGACACTTGCAATATTGGGGACTTCCATAATTTCGTCATTTGGTTTTACTTTTTCATAGTCACCAATTTCTTGACTCCACTTGTACTACTTGGACACAATCACTAGATCTAATCTAGTATAAATAATTTCCACACAATAATCTTTGATCCCATATGTCAATCCTTCTGCTCTCAGTCTGTCCCAATTTGTGTTCTTCTGAGGATGGGATTCATCTTCACTGACACAAAACATTGACGTTTTGTAGTTTTAAAGACCAAAGGGAAAACATAGATGGGAAAGTTATAAAAAGAAGAGGAACGTGAGACATGCATTTGTGCAGGCAGCACGGACGATGGTGCTTGACCGGAAGCTGATACCTCCATATAACTGCTGTCCAAGCAGCAAAGGCTTTTCCCTGGCTCTTGCTTAGACCATCGCTGTTGGCAGGAAAGTATTGCTTCAATAACTTACCAGGTGTGAATGTGTCTGTGAACATGAAAGACAAAATTACAATGATCCAATTTCCAGGGGGAAATGATCTCATCCTGGTCAATACCTCATTTATTCCTCAATTTTCTAAGGTGAGCTGTATGGCACTTAATAGTGATTTTTAAAAATTATCTCACATTTCTTCTCCAAATGGGTTGACTTGAAGGAAATGTCTTCTAGTCCTTTATCACCTTTAATGGGAAGTGAATGCAGAGATTATTCATGCAAGTGCAGTGTGAGGAAAATAACTCTACTTAATTCCAGATAAATCTCGTAACTGGGCAAAGACTGTGGCTGAATAGACCTGATCATTTTATACAAAGAGGAGCTGTCAATGTTATAGAGGATTCTAAGGCACAATAGTGTGGCAGCATGTTATTCTTAATTAACAGGACCGAATACCTTTTCCACTTAAGATTCAGTGTTATTCAGCCTAAAATGCCTGTTCTGTGATGAAGTTCCAGAGTTGTAAAATATTGATCTGTTTCAATCCACACTGAGGACCGATCCTAAGAAGAAGAACATTGCTGGGAACTGCATGCTAGTAGGAGATTGCTAATTAATTCAGTAGTACAGACGCTCTTTTTCTCCTTTGCAAAATTATTGAGTAAATAAAACATGAGTAAATAAAAAATTTTTCAGAGAAATAGAAAATGTAATTTAAGGATGTGGGTTATACAAAAGCACTTGGAAGTTATTCTGAATGTTCCCAGTCTTTCAACAAAGGAGGCTCCCCTCCCCAAAGGCTTGATTTTAGCACTGTCATGGCTATGGTGTGGGCTTGCCTCCTGAAGGCCTGTTAGAGAGTTGGTCATAGTTCATGACATTACTGGCAGGTGCTGGAATCCTAGGAGATAGGAGCCAGTAGATGGAGTTAGGTTACTAAAAATATGTTCTTGAAGGCTGCTGTAGGGTAAACGCGCCCTTCTCCTTCACCTCTTGGCTACTGTGATGTACTATGCTGTCAGAGGCACAAAGTAACAGAGTAATAAGACCAGTGATCATGGACTAGTCTCCGAGACCATGAGCTCAAATAAAGCTCCTTTCTTTTTAAATTGACCATCATGGGTGTTTAGTCACAGTAGTAGAGAACCGACAAGCACACCTGATCAAGACCGTGAATAAATAGAATTCTTCCTCTTCCCAAGCAACTTATCAATTATCTTGGCTAAAAAGGACTTGGTCATTTGTCTAAGTTTAATCCATATTTCTCTTTTAGTCCAAAGTCACATTTCCAAAAGACTGACCAATGGTGCACTTAAAAATTTAGTTTTAAGTTAATTTTAAAAATTAGTATTTTTGTCGGGCAGCGGTGTTGCACTTTAATCCCAAATGCATTTAATCCCAGCACTTGGGAGGCAGAGAAAGGCAGATCTGTGTGAGTCTGAGGCTAGTCTGGTCTGCAAAGTGAGTTCTAGGACAGCCAAGGCTATACAGAGAAACCCTGTCTTAAAAAGCCAAAATATAGAGCCTGCTAGCGTGGCCGGGCAAACATGTCGCACTTACAGATGAAACTCCTGCGCAAGAAGATAGAGAAGCGGAACGTCAAGCTGCGGCAGCGAAACCTGAAGCTGCAAGAAGCATCAAACACGAGCCTATCCCAACCTTCCAATGAAGATGTGCCCAAAGAAGAGGTAAAGGTCAAAAAAATTAAGAAAGCCGTAAAGCATGCTGCGAGGGTGGGCTCAGCAGAAGCACAAAGTGGAGGCTTGCCTGAAGAGACAGTGGAAAACTCGAAAGTTGAAAAGTTACCCCAGAAACCTACTGCTTTAACCAATGGAGAAACAGCAGCAGCGCCATCTCCTGATTCAGAATCAAAAAAGAAAAAGAAGAAGAAAAAGAGGGAAATGGCAAATGACGCAGAGCCTGACACCAAAAAAGCAAAAACTGAAGAAAGCACTGTGGCTCTTGAAGCAGAAGATGCTGTGGAGAAGCCAGATGACAAGGAAGTGCCCAGCCTGCCCCTGGGGCTGACAGGGGCTTTTGAGGACACTTCGTTTGCTTCCTTGTCTAACCTCGTCAATGAAAACCCTCTGAAGGCTATAGAGGAAATGGGCTTCAAGCGCATGACTGAGATCCAACATAAAAGTATCAGGCCACTTCCGGAAGGCAGGGATCTTATAGCAGCTGCTAAAACCGGCAGTGGCAAAACTCTGGCTTTCCTCATCCCTGTGATCAAGCTCATTGTGAAGTTAAAGTTTATGCCCAGGAATGGAACAGGAGTCCTGATTCTCTCTCCTACCAGAGAACTGGCCATGCAGACCTTTGGTGTTCTTAAGGAACTGTTGATGCACCATGTTCACTCTTACGGGCTGATCATGGGTGGCAGTAACAGGTCTGCCGAAGCGCAGAAGCTCACCAATGGTATCAACATTGTCGTGGCCACTTCCGGCCGGCTTCTAGACCACATGCAGAATACTCCAGGGTTCATGTACAAGAACCTTCAGTGTCTCGTTATTGATGAGGCTGATCATATCTTGGATGTTGGATTTGAAGAAGAATTAAAGCAAATTATTAAACTTTTGCCAGTACGCAGGCAAACCATGCTCTTTTCTGCCACACAAACTCGAAAAGTTGAAGACTTGGCAAGAATTTCTCTGAAAAAAGAGCCATTGTATGTGGGTGTTGATGATGATAAAGAGGTTGCCACAGTGGATGGACTTGAGCAGGGATATGTTGTGTGTCCCTCTGAGAAGAGGTTCCTTCTGCTCTTCACATTCCTTAAGAAGAACCGGAAGAAGAAAGTGATGGTCTTCTTTTCGTCGTGTATGTCTGTGAAGTACCACTACGAGCTACTGAACTACATCGACCTGCCTGTCTTGGCCATCCATGGAAGGCAAAAGCAAAATAAGCGAACAACCACGTTCTTCCAATTCTGCAACGCAGATTCAG